AATTTTTTTATTCTTATGCATATTTTTTCAAAAAAAATTGATTTGATTCAACTTAGATAATTTAAATAATTAAAAGTAATTTTAAAAATAAATAATTATTATTTTTTAAAATGAATAATTTTTTGTCTTTTCTTACAAAATAAATATCATAAAATGTCTTTTATAATAATATACCAAATTATATATATACACATTTACATCCTTCAACAAAGGCGTCTAATAATTGTTTTAATCAAATTATTCTTATATGCATAGGATATCTTTAGGCTATCATTTTTTTAAATGTCTGTATGGTTTTTGTTATTGCATTATGTACTTTAAGTAATGTGAAAAAAAATTATAAAAAATCACAGGTTTAAAATTTATTCCACATAATATTTTATTAATGTTAATATTTGCCTCAAGAACACAATAAATAATATAGGACTTTATTGATTGTATTTGATAATATTTTTTATAACTTAAATAAAGTGTATAAATATTAATTTAGAATTATACATGTATGTGAGTATATGTATATATATATATATATGGATTAGCCATTATTTGATGTATGCCTTACATTTTATGAAATAAAAAAATAATTACCTATAATCATGTATAAAGTTATAAGCTTATTTTTTTATACTTCTTATATGAAAGTGCAACGTAGTTAAATTTTATTTTTTTCTCTGCAAATTTAAAAGTGTATAAAAATAATATCTTTATATTTTAGTAAAATTTTATTATTAAGATTATTAAATATATATTTTTATTATAATAAATAATTATTTAAAAGTTACTTATTAAAATATTTAAAAAATTTAAGTAATTTTTAACTACTTTAATTTATTTTATATTTATAATCTTATTTTTTTAATATTATAAAATATGCATATATACATATATATATATATATATTTATATTCATACATAAAGAGCATTAAATTGTTGCATGTATAGAAAAAAAATAGAATCTAATAATTTTTTGATATGTTCTTTTTACATATTTTTTATTGGATATATATAAAATTTTGATGTATTACTCATGAATTTTGGATAACTCATATATTTATTAAACTAATATCTATTCAAGACTAATACTTTATATTGTGTGCCTTACTATATTGAGATCCAAAAGTTATTCACAAAATTAAAAAATGACAATCAAAAAAATTGATTTAATAATTTATTAAGTAATATCTAGACTAATTGTTAGTATTATTTCATTAAAAAATCAAATATCTTATGTGGTTAATATACACTACTTTAAATATATATATATATATATATATATATATATATAACTGTTTTTGTTTGTTAATAAAATAAAAAAAATATATATTTCATTCTCTTTACAATTTTTAACTTTTTTAAAAAAAATCTATTAATTGCAATATTTTTATTTAATTAATTGTAAATACCATATTTATAGTATTTATGATATTATATTATAAAATCAAAACACTCAACTGTTACTAAAAATACAAAATTTGGTAAGTTTCTCAAGATGATAAAAAATCCTTCAATTTTTTTTTACATGGAATAGTTATAATAAGAAAGATAAGTCATAGAATTTTGTTATAAACTCAAGAAGAATAAGAAGAAAAAGGAATAAAAGAAAATGCATGACTTTCAAGTACCAGCTAGATATAAATAGATAGACAGATATGGTGTTCTAATCCATACAATGGTCCATTCACAAAAGTGTTGGGTCTTTACAACTTCATAGAATCCTAAACATAAGCTAAGAGATGATGAAGAAGAAGAAGTATGTATGTGTGGAGGGTGAAGGAAAGAGAGCATTATCAAATATTTGTGTACTTGGTTTCCAAATGCCAAAGAATAATAATTTGTGCGATTTTGTGGTAGTAAGGTAGCCAATCCATTCTTGACCACCCCCCTATTTCCAATCTATAGGGTGGAATATTTCCATGAGTTCAACATCCTATTTACGGCTGGTTTTAACACCCTTCTAGTTGAAAATAGGTCCAATGTTTGTTAAGTTTATAACATTTTTGATAATAAAAAAGTATCAGAAGATTGGATAAATGCATTCCAATTTAGGTGGCAATTGTTGATTGGTTGGGGTGGAATTCAAGTTTAGCAAGAACTGGTTGAATTCCGGTTACCTCATTCATATATTATCATTCGTAGGTAGCACAAAATTAGGTGAAGCTTGATAGCATAATTAGGTGCCACACTTCTTGATTATGGAAAAGGAGGATTCTCAAATTTGTAACCCATCACTAATTAAAATTAGGTTGGCCTATATATCAGATTTGGGTCAAAGAAAATCTTCAGCTAAAAAATTTATATGAATTCTGTTTTGGGACCAAAATGTGTAAAAACATCTGGAATCCTGCTAATTTTTATTTCCTTTTTACACTTACTGCATATATGCTGGAATGTTTAAGTTATCAGAAATGAATTGGCTATCTTAGTGTCTCTCTCCTCCCTCTCTCAATTATTTGACCCCCACCACCTTGGAGCCTTCTCCCAGTGGCCACCACCTGATCCGGCCCATCCCGGCCCGGCAGGAGTGGGTCGCTTACCAAACCCTGGAAGACTCGGTCACACGCCCAAGCATGCATGCAGATTCTGCGGAGGAAGGAAAGGATGGATGAACGGAAATGTAGATGAATGAAATATATTTAACGAGAGGGGATGTTTGGTTGGAAAATGAGGATGGACGGGGGGTGGACGGACGGACGGACGGACAAGGGGCAGGGGGAGGGGGCCAAGTGGGGTGGGGTGGGTCTGACGTGTCCTCGCCCTCCCTTCAGTCATTCATTGTTTTAGTGTTTCTTATGATGATATATATATATATCTTTTTAACGAGCTGATATTATTATTGAATTTGCTCACCAATTATTTTTTATTACTTTATTAGTTTCTCAATAATTGCAAAATATTCCTGTTTTATATACGCACATATACCAATTATACTGTATGGAACAACATAATGCAATCATTTTCCAAGAAAAAGAAAAATAGAAAAAAGTTAAAAAACCATTCTATTTCAAAATCAACTACAACCAAACAAACACTCAAAGGCTCTGCACAATGTGTGCATCGTACACGCTCAGATCCTGTGAACCTTTCAACAACATCTTTCGGATGACCATCAATTCCATCGCAATTCTATTTTTTATTTTATTTATATTCCCCCCCCCCCAAGCACAGGTCCAACAAAATAAGAGACAATCTCACCCTGACTTACACACACCATTTTCACCCTGACTTACACACACCATTTTCACCCTGACTTACACACACCCTGACTTACACAAGTTGTCGCTCTCACAAGTACACTCTCCCAAGTTACACATCCAACTCCTCTACTCATAATCCTATCCCTACAAAAGTTTAAAAAAATTTAAAACAAAAAATAATAAAGAAGCAAAAAAAAGTAGAAGCAGGAAGTATGCCAGTTGAGCCCTGCCAGTGCCATGGCATCGCTGTCAGCCTGCTGGCGAAGACTGGCTTGCAGATGCGCCTATCTGGCGTCACAGGGGCTTTGAAGATGGGTGTCGTCGTGAACTCAAGCTTGATGAGAGCTTCGAGTGAACAAATCCATGGAATGCTGCTCCTGCTACTGTTGTTGTTGTTGTTGTTGTCTGTTGTTGATGGGATGAAAGTGGAGTCGGTGAGAAGGAAGACTGGGTTGGGTGGAAAACTCCAGGAGGTGGATGAAGGTCGCCATTCAACACTGCACTGTTTCGCTAATGTTGTACCAGGGCTTCAGTACTTGGCTACAATGCTATACCCCCCACTACAATTATTGCGACTCGTTGGTGGGCAAAACTGAGATATTTGATCATCGTCGTAGATAGGGCCCCAATGCATGGCCGCTTATGCGCATTACAAAAAGAAAAATATAAAAATGAAGATAGAATAAAAGCTGAACCAAGGGTGAAAATTAGGGGGGGAGGGGGGGGGGTGTTAGATCCTGTTCGCAAATGCAGCATTACGCAGGAGAAACAAAAGCTGAAACTGAGTGCTTCGTGTTTCGCATTGTACCAATTGAATCACATAAGCTCTGCGTTCATTCTAATTTTAAAAAATCAATCCTTTGCGATCACCCTGATTCTCTTAAAGTGGTAAAGTAACGCACAACAGCGACAGTGTTCCGATGATGGAAGTTTTACACCTCCTCGGAGGAAAAAGAGGTTGGAAAAAGTTTAAAAATGTGGGTGGGGAAGCTCGAAACCGTCGCAAATGAAGCAGTAATGGTCACCTCGCGGCGACTGGCAACATTAATATACATACATACACAACAACATTTATGAGGAGAGTTACTGCATCACGAAAAGTGGGAGAGGGGGGCGAGAGGGAGTGAGTGAGTGATGCAGGAGGAGGAGGCGGTTGCTATGACGAGGTGCTGCAGAGATGTGGGTGGACGAGGGCTATCGCGGCGTCCGTGCAGAATTCATCCAAAGGGTGGTGTCAGAGGGTCCTACTCAAGCACTGCCAGACCATCGCTCACTCACTCACTCACTGCGGGGCCCCTATGTCTCGGTGATTGCCTCATCGCACCGAGCTTCACTGATTGCAGTTCCAGCCATGGCCATGCCTTGCTTGCAACCTGTGTCGCCGTGTTCTCCATAGCCACTCACTTCCTTATTAGTCTCCTGTCATTCTCCATCCAAAACATCGGCTCCCCCACCCCATCATCTACCGCTCTCTCCTGCATCCCTGCATGCGCGCGGGTGTGGAGGAGCTGCCGCTGTAGTTACTCATCGTCAGCTACAGTACTTCCTCTGGTAGTTCTGAAAATCTTGCCACTGCCAACCTTGCTGCAAGGCCCTCGACCTGTTTTTCGCGTTGAGACCCGGGAGCAGGGTGGTTCGGGCCAGCTTGCATTTTGCTGGGGCCAATGAGACGGTGACAAAGGACGGGTTGTTTCAGGTGTGAAGTGTGAGAGCCCAGCTGCTGAATACGTGCAGCTGCCACAGTTTTCCAGGTATAACACCGCCCTTTCTCTCAGAGTGTTCAAACCTACAAGGTTTTATTGCGAAGCTTTCATAGGAGATCAATGTGTATCGTCTCGGAAACCCATTTAGCATGGGATACTTTAGACTTCGGAATGTTGGTTCGGTGTTTCGGGGGCCAACAACTTCTACATTGAAATGTCAGGGCCAGCAATATCGTTTCCATAACTTGCGCCTCACAGGGAACGTGTTGTTTGGGAAGATTATTTGCGACGTTACGTACAGTTTGTGCACAACGAAGCGTGTTCTGCATTGTTAGTTAGTCTAGTTTCTTCTTTGCAACGAATCCCCGATGCACACAGTTCTCAGTGTGTGAGTGACACTCGTAGCGATCTCTTGGGACGATGAGGAGGAGCAACCTGCTGCTGAAGCTTCACCCGATCAATCCTCCTTTTGGCAATGTGGAGTGCTACGGAATAGTTTAGTACATGAAAGTACTTGCTCGCAGTGACTTATCCATGTGCTGTGCACTCTGGCGTTGACGAACTGCCCCGCTTCACGTTCACACGTGTGAATGCGTATTGTACCTCCTCGTCTTTAGCAAACCTTCCATCGTTGACAGTGTGATACGTTTATTTTGTCGCAGAGGCATCTCAGGGTATTGTCTCTTTTTTTTTTTTTTTTTTTTTTTTTTTTGTGTGCATGCATACTCTGTTTCCCGCAATCTCAGTGCTTTAGTAGAAATGTTCAATGCATTTTGCCCTCATGTCTAACCCACACTTCATATTCTGTAGATAACCACTTTAGGCAGGACTTGTCTTGGATGTGCTCATGGTTAATGATCGCTTCAGATGAGATCTTAGCTCGTCATCGGTCCCTGGTTCGTTTTGTCAAGTAACCGAACCCGCCGATGTTCGCATCTGTAATATGGTGCACAACGCGAAGATGGATTAGTTATCTACTGAAGTTCGTCGTCACAGGAACACTGTCAAAGAAAAAGGAAAAAGAGAAATCTATTTCCTGTTGTTATGAAGACGTGTAGAAGACGCTTAGAATGAACGATGTCAATTGTCACCCCTTCATGTCTTGTGTTAGGCTATTGTGCCATTGTCACCCCTTCATTAAATAGTGAGATGCCAGTATGTAACGTACCATTTGAATCGGTGGTCTAGGCTTTCATGGGATTGATTATTCGCGACAAGCAGTTGGGCATTAGCTTTGACCTTTGAGTGCATTGCATCATGGACACTACATTGTTGAAGTGAGTTATGGAGGATTGATAGCCTTTTTATCTAATTATCTTTTCATTTTGTGGCAGAACATTTGGAGAAACATCAAGAGTGCGTGTGGGATCAAATACCAGCAATGGTGAAGATGGAGTCGAACTGCCGGCTACGGCGATCCCTCAGCTCGGTCTCCAACTTCAACCTCCTAATGCTAGTTCTGTTACTACTTAGACCATCCGAAGTGTATGCTTTTTCTTTTAAAAGGGCTGCAGTGGTAGCTGCAGCTCCTGTCGCAACTCCCGTCGTCCCCCCCGAAGCTGCCATACCTCCAGTGGTGGCCATTCCTCCCAAAGCAGCAGCTGCACCCGCCATTGTGCCACCGAAGGCCGCCCCAGCGCCAGTTGTGGCGAAACCTCCAGCGGTGGCACCACCTGTTATAGCCCCTGTGGCGGCAAAAGTACCAGCAGCTGCGCCCAAAGCCAAGATCCCTCCCGTAGTTGCTCCGGTTGTGGCCCCTGCAAAAGCTCCTGCAGTTGCCAAGCCTCCAGCAGTTGCGATGCCTCCAGCAGTTGCCAAGCCTCCAGTAGTTGCCAAGCCTCCAACAGTCGTGCCCCCGGTGGTGGCACCAGTTGTGCCCGGCCCAGATCTGGCACCCGCGGCTCCTACCCCAGCAGGAGCTCTAGCGCCATCCACTGGCGTTCCCCTGGATGCCGCCCAGGTGAAAGCTCTGATCGCCCTCGGCATTCCAGCGACCGCCGATGCGTGCTCCACGATAGCATTGACCACTCTGAAATGCGATAGCAATGCAACAACGCGGCACATTCTGGCTCTGAGTGCTCAAGATTGCCCAACTAACGCAGTCATCACCACAGCCAGCTTATCAGTTCTTACTACGTACATGACGGATTTGAGCTTTATCAACTGCAATTTGCAGGAAGCACTGCCGGAGCCCACGGACAGAATGGAAGCGCAATTGGAATCTTTCACTCTCAGGGGCGCCCCTAGTCCAATTCCTGGGTGGTGGATCGGGAGGCTGAAAAACCTGAAAACGGTGCATGTGGCGGATACTTATGTCAAAGCGACGGGGGTGAGTGTCATCATTTCCGAATTAACCCAGCTCACTGAGCTCACGATCGCCAATTCGTCACTCCAAGGTGGCCTTCCGACCGAGTGGCCCGCTGCAGCTACTCTCACCAGCATAGACTTGTCAGGGAACCAGCTTACGGGTCCCATTCCCTTATCTATCACAAAGATCCCCGGGCTGACGTCCCTGGATCTGAGCCGTAACCGCCTCAGTGACCACATCATCAGCGGCATTGGCAACTTGGACAAGCTGAGATCGCTCGACTTGAGCGTCAACCAGCTCAAACAAGGCATTCCCAAGACATTCAGCCAGTTGATAAATTTGGAGAAACTGGACCTGAGCCACAACAAGCTGAATGGGACGATTCCGGAAGAGCTCGGCAACCTTCCCCTCACGTACCTCGACCTCAGCAACAACTCTCTGTCCGGCTACGTTCCCTTCACCGACGACTTCTTGGCCAAGTTGGAAGTGTTCAAGTTCGCTAACAACAAGAACCTGTGTTACAACTCCACCATCACATCCGCCAAGGTGGCTGGCGCATTCGGTCTTCGATTATGCGGTGCCCTGGCTCCCGTGGAGGCTCCTGAGTCCTACGCTCCTGCATCGGGGCCTGAAGTCTCGGCTCTAGATTCAGGGGACTCGCCAGCTCCGAAGAAAAAACCAAATGTCGTGGTTATTGTGTTCGCAACGCTGGGTTCGCTGATTGCTGTCGCTGCTATCGTCTACTGTTGCTGCCGATACTGGGGCGCCAAGGCTGGTTATGAGTGATTTCTTCTCCATGGCCACTGCCTGCAATCCCAGCTTTGCCTCGAGGTGTGCACACAAACTATATTTCCAAAAACTATACCTCAGATTGATATGCCCGCAATCCACTGCCTCCGCTCTTGTTAAAGCTGTCTCAACACAGGAAAAATCTGTGGGTCATTCATGCGTCGATTCCACTGACGTGAATTCACCACTGTCATGTATCAGATCTGCAGGTGTTTCCGAAGAATGAGATCGAAGGTGACTGTAAATCGTCGCACTGTTTTCCCTGGTATCTTTCGTTACATGAGTTGACCACCTTTCTGCCTCCGTCGTAGCCAACGCTTGCCAAAGCGAAGGACAAAAAACACTTCGAAGCTCTGAGATAACGTAAAGCTGTAGAAGAAGATTCGAGCAAGAGCCAGGCTTGTAGGGTTATGAAAGCTTTGGATTTCGCAGGTGTGATCGTGTTTCATAAGGATTTTCCGATACAACAACAACAACAACAGTAGTAGTAGTAGTAGAAGGATGTGTTTATTTACTCATTTCTTGCACTGGTTTGAAGATTATCCTAGTAGTGCTCCATTTTTTTATTTACCCCAGAGGCAATAAGACGCCTGGATGTGATGGTGTTGCAGAGTCAGGATTGACCCCCAATGGAACAAGTCCAGCTTGAAAACGTTGCTAGTGTAGATTCTACTCTAGATGATTGTGAATCGATGCGTACACGTAGTGACAGTTTTGGTAAATTGCTTGATCATAAAATAAAATAAAATTAAAAATTAAAAAAAATAAAATGTACAAGTTTCCTTTTTCTTCGTGATTCTACTATCTACGGAGAAAGCTTACCTGGGATGAGTTCATTTCTGGGTTTTCTGAAGATTTTGATGTATGTTTATTGTTTTGATTTGTGCGTGTTGTGGGTTTCGTTAAAGTGGCTGTTTTCGGTATAGAGTATGTAAGAAAAAAGTGGTGATTGTTAAAGAGATAATCAAATGGATTTTTTTCTGTGTTCGATTGATGTGAATTAGAAGATTGTCTCTTGTTGGTTGTGATTTTGAGCTTGAGATTGTTATGACTCTGAGGCTTTTGATATTTTGTGGTTTATTATGTTGATGTTACAAGTACTGAGCTTATGTTGATTTGGTGATGTACATTGAGATATATATATATATATATATATATGTATAAGTCATTTCACGTTGCTACATCATGCAATATATCTCCGATATTTATCACTTAAGTTTCCAATCAATGATTGTGTTTTAAATTATATTTTTCAAATAGAAGATATTGTTTCTAGTCAACCATTAAGTTTACCATAAATTTCTCCTAAAACAATATCTTCTATTTTAAAACTTTAAATTTAGAACTCTGGTGAACCATTAATTGGTTTGGATCCATTGAAATTTAATTACTTGATGGATATTGTCAAAAAATATATATTTTTTTTCATGTTGATTGACAGGAGTTTGAATGTAGAGTTTCTCTTTTTTCTTTTCTTAGGTAGATGCAATATAAAAAATTATACTTACTTCAAAGAGACGGTATGAAAGTGGATACTTAGATTATATTTTGGACAATGTAGTAACACTTTATTATTCAACAAATAAGTTGCTATTAGTGATCTATCAAAAACATCCAAAAAAAAATTCTATTTAGAAAAACTAGACTAGTACTTTACAATTCAAAAAATACATTTAAAAATAAACATTTTCTGTATACTAATCAAGTTTATAAAAACATTTTTGATACAACTAATAATAAATTTTTAATTAAAAAAATTATATTAATATTTACACAAAATTTGCTAGTATGCTATAAAGCTTTGGAAATAAAAAGAATAATATGTATACTTGAAACTTGAAACCCAAATTAGGGCAGATTCTTCTTTCAGAAACAGACCAGTCATTTCATAATTAAAATTAATGTTATTTTATAATAATAACATCAACATTTTTAATATTCTGTAAAAAAATTAGACAAACTATAAAAAGTCTTGAAATGATTGTGAAAGATCATGAATTGGTGCAGTTATTATTTGATAATTTACAATTATACAGTTATAATTATAGATATTTCAACGTCCTTTTGACCTGACCATGAATGGATGGCTATACATTTTTTGAAAATTTAATAAAGAAATTTATATTTAAAAAATATTTATATTAAAAAAAAATTAATTTCAATTACAATATATTTAAACTTTTAAACTTTTTTTAAACATCTTTGATATGTAGCTCCATGACATGTTTGATAAAAGATATTTTAAACTAAGAAAATACTTTTTTAAAGCAAAAAATATTTAAAAAAATTCCATTTGTACCTCCATAATATGTAGTAATATCAAGAATATCCCTATATTTTCAATAATTACATATTTCAATAATGCTAAGGAAGTTGATCTAGAGATACTTGTTTGCCACACTATATGCTTTAGTGGTGCTGATATCATCAAAATCTGTTAATAAGCTTGTAAATATTTAATTTGTGAAAATATTGAAAAAAAATGTATATGAACAACTCTAGAGCTTTGTTATTTTAATTAGATTTTTATGTCTTGTTTTTAGATTTATTGTTGAGATACGAGCAATTTCACTCCATGTCTTTTTCTAAGATAAGGTAGTTAATGGACTTGGATTTTTAATGTTTGTGTATAGAATATAGAAAAGAAAAGAAAAAAACAAGCTATGCAGTTAGAGGCAATAGAAGAGGATGATATTGATAAAGTGTCAAAGATCAAAGCAATGCGCTTTAAAGAGTCCATGAAATTTTCTCGTAGAATATTAGTGATGCCAATATCAGCAATTACTAAGCTTTTGCCAAAATGTTGCAACAATCTTGAGGCATTAGTTCAGAGTATTGTTTTCCAAATCGACCAGCCACTACAAGATTGGTGCCAACAATGGAATCAATGATGACAATGGCAAGGTTTCGTCTGTTGGAGTCCACCAAAATATGTATGGTACATAATTTGGGTCCTAAAATAAGTTAAAATAGCATTAATCTGACATGCTATCAATTCCAAAGATATAATTGAAATTATGAAAAAAATTAGAGGTACATGAATAATTATCAAGAATACAAGGATATTCTTAGTACTAGTACATATTATAGGAGTACAAATGAAACTTTTTCAAAAATGTATTTAATATCCTTACTACAATTTTGAAAGCAAGCAAATCAACCTTACAAATTAAAAATTGAAGTAATGAAAAAGAGCACTTCTTATTTCATTGATATTATTATTGTTTATGTTTTTGTAAAATAATCCTTTTAATTATAAGTCAATGTAATTAAATATATAAAAGATTAAAAATTATATATTAGTAATATACTTAATATACATAAAAATCTAATTATAATCCAAGATTAATTTTTTTATATAAAAATATAATAACTTTACATCAGGACACATCTAAAAATTATAATAAAATTAATATTATATATATAAAAAATTCCAACCTTTAAATGCTGATTTTTTTTAGTATTATTAGTTTTACACATGTTTCTTAGATAATAATTAAGTAAAATTATTATATTTGATAATCCATAAAATGGATCTACATTCAAGTTGTACATTTATGTATATTTATACTATATATATATATATATATATATATATATATATTTTCTTTCTACATTGTTTCTACATATGTCTTGTAGTTGATCATATACTCTTATGAATCTATATTCTTCTACTTTTATCAAGAATTGCTAAATCAATGAATTTAATATAAACTCCACATCATTTTTCAATATTTATTTTTGTATTAATAGTCCATATTTGCAATGCTCTTTCTTTTGACATGCTTTGTAGACACATATCACTATAACAAAAACAACATATATCTAAAAACATGTTCTTTTCTTTAAGTTTGAAAATTTCAAAGCATATTCTTAATATATTCCAAATCTTATAGTTACCACTCTTTTCATCTCCATCTAACTCTCTTTTCATCTCCATCTAACTCTCTTTTCTTTTTCAACATTTATATAAGATAAATTGATGCCAAATTTTTGTACTTAAATGATTAATATTACCTATTAAAATTTAGATGTATGTACTATATCAAAAAAAATAAATAAATTATGTAGTTAGCTTGCAAAAATGAATAGAAGTATAAAAAAAATTTAAAAATAAAAATAAAAATGAAATTCTAAAAAATTAAAGAAACTATGCATAAGATGTCTATTTAATATTTTTTAAAATTTTATTTTAAATTTCAAAATTAAAATATATTTTAAAAATAAAATTCTATAATAAATTTATAATATTAAATTTTAAAGATATAATCAAAGAATTTGTGTATAAATTTATGTATTAATTTAAATCAAATAGTATTAATAAAATTTAAAAATTATATATATATATATATATATATATATATATATCTACATACTTTGATTTTTTTTTTAAAATTCTTCTAAAATATAAAATTTTAGAATAAGTTAAATATCTTATATACATATATATATAAAAATATATATTATATAAATATATAAGAAAATAAAATATTTCAATACACATTATACTGTAGAAGAATTCAAATATTTACTTAAATCTAGAGATTAAAGTTTTTACTTCTACACTTACTAACATCAATTTCTTTCAAAAGCATAGAATAATACAATACTCAATCATTATCAAATTTTTATATTTATAGTAATAATTTCTATTCCTGACTATATTGTATAGACATGCCAATACATTGATACACCAACATTAGATTTTGGTGAGTTGGTAGATAATTTTGCAAATCAAGTCAACATAACTTCCTAACATGAATGAGATTAGTTTGGCTATCTATGCACATGGATTTCATGTGCTTATAAGAGCTTTTATCAAGGACTTGAATCTTGAAGAAAGAAAATGCTCAATACACTCTTGTGTCACTAAAAGAAACTAGAAAGTCATTCAAAGATGATATAATATTGAATTAGAATGGCTATTGCTAAAAATAAGAAGACTAGAAAGTCTTAAAATAAGACTAAGGATTAAAAATGTATTGATAAGAGTAAAGAAGGCTTCATTCTTGCCTCCATATATACTCTTAACTAGGAACTACATGGCGATATCCTATAGGACCTCTAAAAGATGTTGACTTTCCAAGGTAAGTTTTTTATATATGCACCTTATAATTAACTTTTTCTACAAGCTACCAACACATGGTTAACTTGTTGACCAAGTTTCCAACCTATCAATCAACTACAAATACATATAAAGTCAAAACAACATCTATGAAGCTTCTAAGAAGCTTTTCTAAAAGGTACTATGAAATTAAACTACTTTTATCTACTTTTATTTACTTCTATTTATTCATATAGATATTTATTAGTATATCTATATATATCCATGACCTTATCTGCTCTTCTAGAGATGAGTTCCATAAGGAGCGGTCTTCATATGTTAAAAAAATTGAAGATGTAATAAATTGTATTTGCCACATACTTTGATATTTATTTCCTTTGAAGATGGTTGATAGGTCCTCTTAATCATCAATAGTATCCTATATTAGGGTGAAAAGACCATCTTTTTATTTGGTCATTATTGAGGCCTTCATAACTTTCTTCAAATTAAATATTTGGAATACCATCAAGAGTTGTTTCTATGTCTAATAAAATTACCAAACATTGGGAGTCTCTTCCAAGGTCGTGATACCAAACACATTTTATCTCGCCATCTATTTGACGAAGAATATATCATTCTTAAAGATCTTAATCTCAATTTTGTCATCTTGAAGGTTTTGACAATTATAATATCTTGTCTAGTAAGTCTACAAATGAAAGCTCTTGAGTTAAATCTGATGGTTGTT